CTGTCATTTAGGAAAATATTTGGGAAAAAAGATTTGGTTGGCACATAGAAGATTTGATCTGTACTTGTTAGCAAGAAAAAACGAAATCTGGTCTTAGTTTTAAAAAATAAATCTGTGGCTGGGTGTGGTGGCTCATGCCTGTAATCCCAGCATTTGGGGAGGTCCAGGTGGGCAGATCACCTGAGGGCAGGAGTTCAAGACCAGCCTGACCAATAGGAGAAACCCATCTCTACTAAAATACAAAATTAGCTGGGTGTGGTGACGCATGCCTGTAATCCCAGCTACTCAGGAGGCTGAGGCAGGAATATTGCTTAACCTGGGAGACAGAAGTTGCAGTGAGCCGAGATCACGCCATTGCGCTGCATCCTGGGCAATAAGAGTGAAACTCCGTCTCAAAAAAAAAAAGTCTGTTATTACAGAACAGATAATCTGACCTCTATAAATGGTGGAAAACTTACTCATATAAATTATTTTGTTCTCATAAGTGTTATTTAGCTCAGGAACAGTCTAAACCAGTGGTAACTTTTTTTTCTTAATGAGAAGAAGATTTCTTATAAATTATTTAATAATTTTATTTTATTTCTGTTTCTACAGTATATTCTTAGAGTTTATTTGGGTTGTATTAATGAAGTGCTGGATTGCTTCTAATGAGTACTTTTTGAGCCTGTTATAAGAAAACAAATAAATTGTAGATTAAGCCATGTGACTATGTGAAACATACTATTTCAAATTAGAGACTTTTCTTCTCTACCTTTTACTTTCATTTGCTTATTTCTTTCTGCATGTTTTCTGTCTTAGCAGTCTCCAGGAGTACCACTATGTGTTATTGTTTCTTAAATTTCCCCAAATTGTGATCTTTTGCTTTAGCCTGTTTCCTGAATTTCAGATGTATATTTATCACTCTGACCCTGGGCTATAGGTGAGGCCTTTAAATAGTAGTTCTTTCCCGGGATAAAAGAGATTGATGGTATAGTGATAAAAAGAATAGGGTATGTGAAATACTTTGAGTTTATGTAGCACTGTTTAGGTGATTTCTATAAATTAGAAGTAGAATTTCACTTGTTGGTCCATTCAGAAAGGAATTGAGCGTTGATTATGTGCCAGACACTGTTCTTGGTGCTAGATATACAGCAAAGAATAAGACAGCCTGGGCCCATAATAATTACAGCTTGAGTGTGTATGAGTTGTGTGTTTTAGTTGAGATTTGCACCTAGACACTAAAGAAATAAGAGGATAATATATAAAGAATATCAGATGGAATGTGGAAGCAGATTCTTTTATGACTCTCTGAGGGCAAGATCAGTCCCAGAACCATGGTCTCCTAACTTACAGAATATCAAATTTGCCACGCATAGTGACACGCACCTGGTGCCAGCTACTTGGAAAGCTGAGATAGACCCATCCCTTGAGTTTGGGAGTTTGAGGGTGCAGTGAGCTATGATCACACCACTGCACTGGACGTGATGGCTTCCAGCACTTTGGGAGGCTAAGAAAGGAGGATCACTTGAGGCCAGGAGTTTGAGACCAGCCTGGGCAACACAGTGAGACCCCTTCTCTATACACACACATACACACAATGTTAAATCTTAGAACATCCATAGTCCTTGTCTTCAGTATTCTCTTCCAGTAAATAAAATTTTGAGACCTTATAGATATGAAAAATGTCTTTATTTTCCCTTGTTTGGCAGATCATATAATTATCATTTTGAAATATTCTCTTATAATATGCCAGTCTCTTGAGTGGAATATTTAACAAAGTAAAGTGATTTTACATTAAGGGTTAACATGAATGAAGCCAATTTAAAGAAACATTTTCTATAGCAGACTCTGTGGCCTATGGATGTGACATTATTCCAGACAGACTCAAGTATCACTGAGACTAATACTATTTATTCACAAGACAGAATGATCTTAAGAAATGTCAAAGTTACCCTCATGTGGCTGCTTCCTTCTCAGCTTTCCATATTGTGGGACTTTGGAAAACTTCACTTGTATTTTCAGGACCGCACTCTCTTAATATATAAAATAAGGAGGAGAGAGTAGGTAATCTGAGTTGCCAGCTTAAATGTTGTACGTACCTTTGACTATATAAAGAGGGAGGATCAAGTTAGCCACTCCAAGTGCTTGGGTGTTATACTGGTGGGAATTGTTTCTCATATGATTAGGCACACAGTAAACAGTAGCTCCTGGCCATTAGTTAGTAGCAGTTATCTATTTTGTGAACATCAGAATACATTTTCAACTTAGTTGATCTAAACTTTTGAATGTAACTAAGAATTTATCTTTGAGAAGGATTTCCTTTTCCTTCTCAAAATAAATTACTTTAAATGTTTGTAGTGAATGCTTATAATGCCAAGATATATGCAAAAGAAACTAGGTCAAAATTGTGTTATTCTTAGTTGGACCCTCAATACATCAGTTCTAAGTACTTTTTGTGAATGAACCTTCTGTCTTGTGAAGTGCCTAGGGTTACAGAGTACCTAATGCAAATGTCATTTCCAAGCTTCTTTAAACTAGCAGAGTACCTTTTTTCTATTATAATGCGGGTAGATGCTAATAAGTGGCATTCTTTTTTTTTCCTGTCTGGTAACCCCTCTGAGAGGCAGATAGGGGAGTAAGACAGAACTAAGAGTGCCGGCTTGCTCCTTCCTGTTCATTATTACCCACGGCTAGAATTTGACAACTAGGTAACTTCAGATATCCCTCATAGTAGCAGATGGGAAAGTATCTCCTCTCTAGAGGCAAAAGCAGATCAAGAGAAAGGAGAGCCCAGATGTCTCTTAGCTAAGGGCAGGCATACCTAGTTTTTTCTCCCAGATTCTCTCTTGTGAGGAGGGGTGAGTGAGGATGTTCAGAGCAGCCAGTAGTTCAGTAGTTCTTAACCTTCTAATGTGTATTAGAATCATCTGAGGAGCTTCTAAAAATATATACATATCTGGTACACACATCCAGAAATTTAGATTCACTTTGTCTGGGGTGGTATTTCCATGAAAGTTTCTTGGGGTGGTTTAATTGTGCAGCCAGGGTACCGAATCGCAGCTCTAATGAAAATCCTTCTACATAGGAAGGAGAGGTTAAGGGGCTGAAGGATGTCACCAGCATTTGTGCATAAATCTCAAAATGGTACTCCTTCCCAAAATAATGTTGTTAAGCATATCCTGTGTCACCTAGTACAGAAGATAAAAGTGCTCTGCAGTTAGACTGTCTGGTAGCATCATAACTTTGGGCAGGTTGCTAAGCTTTTAAAATAAGCTTTCTTATTTGTAAAATTGAGATAATAGTACTTACTTCATAGGGTTGTTTTGAAGCTCAAATAAAATAATATATTTGAAGGGCCAGGTGCAGTGGCTCACGCCCGTAATCCCGGAGCTTTGGGAGGCTGAGGTAGGCTGAGGTCAGGAGCTCAAGACCAGCCTGGCTAACATGGTGAAACCCCATCTCTACTAAAAATACAAAAGTTAGCCAGGCATGGTGACATGTGCCTGTAATCCCAGCTACTCAGGAGGCTGAGGCAGGAGAATTGCTTGAACCCCGGAGGCGGAGGTTACAGTAAGCCGAGATTGTGCCACTGCACCCCAGCCTAGGCGACAGAGCAAGACTCCATCTCAAAAAAAAAAAGATAGTGTATTTGAAATGTTCAGCATGATACCTGGCACACAGTATAAGTGCACAATTAATTATAAGAATCATCTTTATTAGATAATTTGTCAGCATGCATATAGAATTGGAGATTTTTAAAAATCCTTATTTATATAGGTTTCCCTGAATCTGTGCAGTCCACAGTGATCATTTTTAATGGCAACTGAATGTTACATTATGACCTTTTCTCAGTTCTGTGACATGTAGCTTATTATTTTCCACAAATATTGTTAGAACCAACAGTGTGGAGAGGAGACCACACAGTTGTGGTTAATATTATGAGATTCCTCAGAAGGGAGGCTATTCATATTACGTACCATTGAGAGTGTGTGGGTTTGTTACTGATCCACTTAAAATGACTGGATAAGAAAGTGTTGTGCTTAAGAGTTACTTGATGGACTGTGGAAGTGAGGAGCTGTTAAAGAACAAAATAGCTTCTAGGCCTTAGATTAACACAACAAGAAAAGGTGTTTCAAAGGCTGTAAACAGTTTACATTTCTCAGGATCAATTTTGGTGTAGTGATCAAGAGGAGCAGTGATCTAAAGCTTATGTTTTATATTTTTTTATAATAATCACAGTGCAAAAGTAGATATTACATTTGGCCATTAGTCATGTTGGTTTTGCATTTATAGAAAAATATACTAAATAGTATGAACTGTATTTACACATGTAATTTTTCTGAAGTGTTTTTATATAATTGGGTAGTTACTAACCTTTTCTTCCTATGAGTAGAGATGCCAAGTGCACATTAGAATTATGAATAACTGGCCAGGGGTGGTGGCTCATGCCAGTGATCGCAGCACTTTGGGAAGCTGAGCAGATTGCTTGAGCCCAGGAGTTTGAGACAGCCTGGGCAATGTGATGAAACTCCATCTCTACAAAAATAGAAAAAATTAGCCAGGCGTGGTGGCATGCACCTGTGTTCTCAGCTACTTGGGAGGCTGAGGTGAGAGGATTGCCTGAGCCTGGGAGTCAGAGGTTGCGGTGAGCCAAGATCATACCACTGCACTTAAGCCTGGGTGACAGAGCAAGACACTGTCATTTAAAAAAAAAAAAAAAAAAAAAGATGTCAGGAAGTGCATTCTTGCCAGAAATGACCTAGTCATTTAGTATGCTACTTTGCTAGTGAGATCATACAAGCCTGATAGATGTAAATGTATATATTTGTGCTATATGTTGTTTTAAAGGGGCCAGGATAGATTCTTATTTAAAGCAAAATACAAGTAACATTTTAGAGAATAATTAAATACCAGCCTGTTCCTTTTCCATTTCTTTATTGTCATGTGAAAACAATCGGTTTCAGAGCAATCACCATTTCTACCCACACTAATAACCCTCTCTCTGGTTTATTTTTTTGCAGGAGGTATATCGAATTCCAAAGAAAAGTCAAACTGAAAAAGAGAACACAAGTAGGTATTCAGAGATACTCTGTATTGATGGCTTTACAAATATTCTTTTGGTATGTGCAGAGGTAACCGATAAGCACTTGAGTTTTTTTTGTTTTTGAAACTGGAGACTATATAATTAGGTAAATGAAAGATTTGGTGTAAAAAGTTGGAAACTTGTGCTTTTATTCTTAATGACATTTTTCCAAAGGAAATGTTTCTAATACTTTTGTTGTTGCTTTCCTTGAACTCAGTCTTTACTAGCTTTTCTTCTATTTGTTTTCTAGAGCAGACCTTTATTTTTTTTATTTAGCCTTTTTTTTCTTTTATTATTGTAATTTTATTTTCTTCACAAAAAAATCCTATACTTCTAGATGTCTGTGGGAGGGTCTTTACCTCAAGGTATTTATATGCAGGTGGGCAGGTTGGCTCACACCTGTAATCCTAGCACTTTGGGAGGTCGAAGCAGGCGGATTGCTTGAGCCGAGGAGTTTGAGACCAGCGTGGGCAACATGGCAAAACCCCATCTCTGCAAAAAATACAAAAATGTTAGCCAAGTATGGTGGTGTGCACCTGTAATCCTAATTACCAAGAGGCTTAGGTAGGAGGATCACCAGAGCCCAGGAGATTGAGGCTGCAGTGAACTGTGATTGTGCCACTGTACTTCAGCCTGAGCAACAGAGTGAGGCCCTGTCTGTAAACAAACAGAGATGTTTACATGTAAAATTTTACATGTACACAGTTGACCCTTTGAACAGCACAGGGGTTATAGATACTGACCCCGTGCAGTCGAAATTCCACATAACTTTTGACTCCCCATATTTTGTATGTTATGTGTTTGTATTATATACTATATTCTTACAGTAAATTAAGCTAGAGAAAATGTTAAGAAAATCATAAGCAAGAGAAAATATATTTACTCTTCATGAAGTGGAAATAGATCATCGTAAAGGTCTTCATCCTTATCTTCATCTTGAGCAGACTGAGGAGAAAGAGGAAGGTTTTGTCTTGCTGTCTTGGGTGGCACAGGTAGAAGAAAATCCACATATAAGTGGACTTCCATGCAGTTTGAACTCAATGTTGTTTAAGGGTTGACTGTATTGACTTTTCTGAGGCAAGTCAAAACTTTGAGCAGATTCTCAGTCACCCCTGAAAAGGTTAGAATCATTGTTTCAGAATGGATATAGCAGGGAGGCCATGGGAGTCTGACGTCTAGACTTTACCACTTAGTTACGTTTCCAGCAAACTTATTTATTGATTTACTTTTTAGAGACAGGGTTTTACTCTGTCATGTAGGCTGAAGCACATTGGTACCAACATAGCTCTCACTGCAGCCTCGGACTCCTGGGCTTATCCTCTTGCCTCAGCATCTTGAGTAGCTGAGCGTATAGGTGCATGCCATCACGCCTGGCTAATTTTTTAGTTTTTTTGTTTGTAGAGACAGAGTCTCCCTATGTTACCCAGGCTAGACTTGAACTCCTGGCCTTAAGTGCTCCTCCTGTTTCAGCCTCCCAAAGTGCTGGAATCTCAGATATAAGCCACTGTGCCCAGCCTTAAGAATTTCTTTCCTTTCCTCCAGCAAACTTATTCAGAGATTCAAGGAATGGGATCACTTACAGTGGTTATTGGTTTCATGAGTACTTCCACCACTTGCCCACTATAAATAGAATGAAGAAACCAGTGTAATAATTTTTTGACTTTTTATTTTTGGTGTGCATAACGTTTTATATAATCTTAGTCTTATTGGTTAAAGACCTGTGAGATATCTTTTGCACCATTGTTTATCTTTTGAATATTTTTAGTTCCATTCTGGTTTAGTCTCTTCATAGCCACACATTCTACTTAGGGCTGCAAAGAACTCTTCCCATAAGAAAGAAGGCAGGACTGGGCAATAGTAATTGGCAAAACCAGTGGCACCACTATAGGGTTTATTATTAGAAGCTAGTTTTCTGGGATCACTGAATTAAAACTATTAGCAGGGCCGGGCGTGGTGGCTCATGCCTGTAATCCCAGCACTTTGGGAGGCCAAGGTGAGCGGATCACAAGGTCAGGAGATAGAAGCCAGCCTGGCCAACATGGTGAAACCCCATCTCGACTAAAAATACAAAAAAAAAAAAAAAAATTGGCTAGACGTAGTGGTGTGCACCTATAGTCCCAGCTACTTGAGAAGCTGAGGCAGGAGAATCGCTTGAACCCGGGAGATGGAGGTTGCAGTGAGCTGAGATCTTGTTGCACTCCAGCCTGGGCAACAAGAGCAAGATTCCATCTAAAAAACAAACAAACAAAACTGTTAGCAACACAGGCAAAGTTTAAATATCTATGAGTATTTCCCCACAATATTTTGCAAATATCTAGTCTGGTGTAGCAAGATATTTGCAAAATATTGTGGAGAAATATTTTGCATCCATGAGATGCAGAGGATGATCTGTAATGAACAACTATAATCTTTTCAGGTAGTAGCCTCTTGTCTGCTAACCTGTCTCTCTTTCACATGTGGAACCCTCCATCTCCATCTCAGGTTTTAGAATAAGGAAATGCTTATAATTCAAGCCTGGGTTCTATTTCTTAATGTCAAACAAGTAAAGCTTAGAACCTTTAAAATTCATAAGGATTATGAAATTCTTCAGAAAAGACGTAGTCTAACTTTACCCTCATTTTTATAATATTAGGATATCAGCCTGAATAAATTGAATGACTTGTCTGCTTCACATATTCTAAGGTGCAGAATCAGAATATGAACTGTTGCTATGATTCCTTTTTTGTTTGATCAGGGTATAGTGAAGAAATAGCCACATTTTAAGGAACTGTATACTAGGCGAGAAACCTGGGGGAGCAAGATAGACGTGGGTAGATCCAGATGCAACTGGATAATGCTACCTCATAAAAGGTTGTAGTGCTAGTACCTCTTGAGCTGGAGCAATTAATTTAGTTATACAGCATTTTCTACCAGCATGTGGTACAAATAAGTTCTGTTAGCTTCTCACTGACAAATGCTTATACCTGGCTGTAGATTAGTAACCATGTTGCAATTATTTGGGTCTTTGGCCCCTCTAAATGGAGAACTGTGAGAAAAGCTTGTGAAACTTAGGTTTCTGAGGGAGTAAAACAACTGATAGCACATTTTTCTGAGATGAGAAAAAGAAAAAGCAGTAAATGTCTATTAAAAAATCTTCCTTGTCCTGTGAGAGAAATTCTCAACAAGAGAGCAAGACTAACATACACAAAGCAACAGCATATTATGCCAGTCAATTGATACTGAAATGTTTATTGGTGAGATTTAGACGTCTTAAGGAGATGAGAAACCAGGAGGGTGTGATCAGTAAAAAGTAGTACTTAAGACAGCTTTTGAGAGCACTGTAGTGGAATGGGGTTCATGAAATTAAGAACCACTAGCCACACAAGCAAATCTCACAATCTCAGTGAGATTAACAACCATTCTAGGTAAACAGAGACACTGTAAATTCAGAAGGTTATTAGTACCATCTTTGAATAGGAAGTGGGCATTCTGATTTTTTGGTTGGTTGGTTTCTAAGAGACAGGATCTTGCTCTGTTGCCCAGGCTGGAGTGTAGAGGTGTAAACAGTGTTCACTGCAGCCTGGGATGCCTGGACTGAAGCAGTCCTCTTGCCTTAGTCTCTTGCAAATAGCTGGGACTACAGGTGTGTGCCACCATGCCCAGCCTGGCATCATTTTTTTTAAGATGTAGCTCTCAGGCTGGGCGCAGTGGCTTGCACCTATAATTCCAGCACTTTTGGAGGCCATGGCAGGCGGATCACCTGAGATTAGGAGTTCGAGACTAGCCTGGCCAACATGGAGAAACTCCATCTCTACCAAAAATACAAAATTAGCCAGACATGATAGCACATGCCTGTAATCCCAGCTACTCAGGAGGCTGAGGCAGGAGAATCGCTTGAACCCAGGAGATGGAGGTTGCCGTGAGCTGATACCGTGACATTGCATTACAGCCTGGGCAACAAGAGTGAAACTCTGTCTCAAAAAAAAGAAGATGTAGGTCTCTGGCTTTGATGACTTCCAAAGTTATTACCTGTGTTTGAGATATTTTCCTTTTATAGTTATACCTTTGACTCTTGAACAACACAGGTTTGAACTGCACAAGTCCACATATGCAGTGGATTTTTTTTTCAACCAAATCTGCATAGAAAATATAGTATTCACAAGGTATGAAACCAGACTATTAGGAAGGGCAACTTTTTTGTATATGTGGGTTTTGTGGGGTGGATTGTGGAGCTTGAGTATGCAAAGATTTTGGTGTGGAGGGAAGGGGGTTCCTGGAACCAGTTCCCCATTTATACGAGGGATAACTGTAGTTCGTTAAAATGTTGCCTAATAAGGCACTTTTTAAATTTTAACAGACGGGGTCTTGCTTTGTTTGGCCAGGCTGGAGTGTTGAGGTACAATCATAGCTCACTGCTCCCTCGAACTCCTGGGCTTAAGCGATCCACCCACCTCAGCCTCCGAAGTAGCAGGGACTATAGCCACCATGCCTACCTTAAAAAAAAAACAGACTTTTCTCATTGAGGTTTTTATGCTTAGCACATCAGGCTACTTTTCTTAGGTTATAAATATGAAGAGTTAGGGGGTAGTTGAAAGCTTTTACATTTTTGAACTGACAAACTACCTTGGTAAATGTAATGGGAGTATCTTGCACACATGTGCTCACAAAACTTACTATAGAAATGTTAAAACCTTAGGCTGACTCTTTGGTGGGGAAGAGGAGAAAAGGACATTTGTGAAAGAGACTTTTATTAAGTAGAGTGAACACAGACACAAGATTTTGTATCACATTCAGAGTCAGAACTGGGTAGATAAGGGAGAAGTCCATCGATGTATTTGTTTGATAGAAGTTTTATTATACAGTTGATATATTGTCATGATGGAGAAAAGTTCAAATAAACTTAAAAAAAAAATCCAAAAACCTTTTTCCCTTAGTAACTGAACGAGGAAGGGATGCTGTTGCCTTTAGAGATCAAACACCTGCCCCAAAGACTCCTAATAGGTCAAGAGAGAGAGACCCAGACAAGCAAACTCAAAATAAAGAGAAAAGGAAACGAAGAGGCTCCCTCTCACCACCTGCTTCTGCCTATGAGCGGGGATCAAAAAGGCCAGATGACAGGTAAGTGGCCTGTGTGAGTTGTTTTTTGTTTTTGTTTTGAGCAAGTTAAAAAGTACCCAAGTCATATACTTCTGGCTTTTGGAATTAGTATTTGCCTTTTGATGAGTGAGTATAAAACTTCACTGATAAATCTTAAGACAGATTCCCTGTTGACAGTAGTAGTAGCTGTGAAGATTAATAGGTTTTGGTATTTGAGTGGTTTCTATTTGATTAATATTTAAATGTCATTTTGGGAGCCAAAGATTTATTCTTTCAAATGCAGTGGGGGTTGGTGGGAGGTAAGTCTTCAAAGATAATGGTGATTCTTTAAAAGCCAGAACTTTGTTTTCTTGTGAGTCTTGTGCCATACTAATCAAAATGCTGATTTTAATAAATCTAGTCAGAGGTTATACCAAGACTGTTACGAAATAAAGAAAGAAAATAAAATAAATAAAAATAAATAAATTAGTCAGAGGCTCTCTGGTCATGCTGGTCAAAAAACAAACCATATATTCACTGGGGGCCAGAAAACATTTATCCCAGACAAGTTATTTTTAAATTAAATTTGCCTTTTAAAAATTGAGATAAAAAATTTATATACTGCAGTTGGCAGAATTTTTTAGTTTTAGGCTATCTGGGTATGTAATGTGATTTTTATGTGCATTTCCCTAATTACTAAATAGATTGAACATCTTATCATATATTTATTGGCCATTTCTTTCTTTTGTATGTAGTTAACCAGTTTTCTCAGCACCATTTATTGAAAAGTCTATCCTTTCCCCACTGTAAGTTCTTGGTGCCTTTGATGAAGATGAGTTGGTTTCCAAAATGCGTGGATTTATATCTGCATTCTCTATTCTGTTCTATTGGTCTGTGTGTCTGTTTTTATGCCAGTACCATGTTGTTTTGGTTACTATAGCTTTGTACTGGCCATTTCTGTTTCCTGTTCTGTGAAGTATCTTTTATGTGTTGATCATTCATTGAATTATTTGTCTTTTAGCTTTATGTGTTCTTTATATTCTAAATATAATTTTGTCTTTGTGATAACTGTTGCGAGTATTTTCTCCCAGTTTATGGGTTGTATTTTGACTCTTTGTACCTTTTGATACATAGAATTTTTAAATTATGGTTTAGCTGAATATATCATATATAGTATATTTTCCTTATGGTTTGTGCTTATTGTGTTTTAAGAAATCCCTCCCTATCCTTGAGGAGGTGCTATTCTTTTGTATTTTCTTTGAAGAGAATTAAGTCCTTAATCTATTTGGAATTAATTTTTGTATATATTATAAGGGAGGGATTCAGTTTTATTTTTCTCTAGTACCCAATTGTCCCAGCACCATTTACTTGAAAACCCATCCTTTTTCATTGGTCTGCAGTGCTGCCTCTCTCCCACAAATTTTCATGTATGGGAAGATCTCTTTCTGGGGCTCATGATGACTGTAACTTCTATTAGGTCTTGGTAGCAAATCACTACCCACTTCTTGGTTTTCCTCTAGGACTGATCTTGTCTTTTCTCAGACTTTATTATTCTTTAGAATCTGCTTCTTTAGAACCCTACCCATCAAAGAGATGATTCTGTAGAGAGTTGACATTGATAAAATTTTGAGTATGCCTATCTCTGTCTAATTAGGTCTCTTTTGAGACAAGGTCTTACTATGTTGCCCAGGCTGGAGTGCAGTGGCACGATCATGGCTCACTGCATCCTTGCTTTACCTGCCGCAGCTCAGGCAATCCTCCCACTTCAGCCCCCCTCTCATCCAGTAGGTGGAAGCAAACGCCACCACTCCCAGTTTTTTGGTTTTTGGTTTGTTTGTTTTTCTAGAGATGAGGTTTTGCCATGTTGCCCAGACTGGTCTTGAATTCTTGGGTCTCGAGGCTGGTGGAACACCTAAAGTCAGGAGTTCAAGACCAACCAGGCCAACATGGTGAAACCCCGTTTCTATTAAAAATACAAAAAATTAGCCGGCATGGTGGTTCACGCCTGTAATCCCAGCTATTTGAGAAGCTAAGACATGAGAGTTGCTTGAACCCAGGAGGCAGAGGTTGCAGTGAGCTGAGATCATGCCATGTGCTCCAGCCTGGGCGACAAGGTGAGACTGTCTGAAAAAAAAAAACAAAAAAAAACAAAAAAAATGCATACAGTTTTGTGACCACCATAACATTGATTATACAGAGCACTTCCATCACCTTAAAAAATTCCTAGTCAGGCGTGGTGGCTCACACCTATAATCCCAGCACTTTGGGAGGCTGAGGCAGATGGATCATGACATCAGGAGTTCGAGACCAGCCTGGACAATATAGTGAAACTCAGTCTCTGCTAAGAATACAAAAATTACTTGCTTCAGCAGCACATATACTAAAATTGGAATGATACAGAGAAGATTAGCATGGCCCCTGCGCAAGGATGACACACAAATTCATGAAGCATTCCATATTTATTATAATATAAATTAAAAAAAAAAAAAGAATAAAAAAATTTGCCTGGTGTGGTGGCATGTGTCTGTTGTCCCAGCTACTGAGGAGGCTGAGGCAGGACAATCACTTGAACTCAGGAGGTGGAGGTTGCAGTGAGCTGAAATCCCACCACTGCACTCCAGCCCGGACAACAGAGCGAGACTCCGTTTCAAAAAAAAAAAAAAAGAGTAAAATTTCCGGTCAGGTGCAGTGGCTCATGCCTATAAATCCCAGAACTTTGGGAGGCTGAGGCAGGTGGATCACTTGAGGTCAGAAGTTCGAGACCAGTCTGGCCAACATGGTGAAACCCTGTCTCTACTAAAAATACAAAAATTAGCCAGGTGTGGTGGTGCACACCTGTAATCCCAGTTACTGGGGAGGCTAAGGCAGGAGAAGCACTTGAACCTGGGAGGTGGAGGTTGCAGTGAGCTGAGATCGCACCATTGCTTACCAGTGTGGGTGACAAGAATGAAACTCTGTCTCAAAAAAAAACAAAAATTCTGTTGTGCCCCTTTGTGGTCAGTCCCTTATACATCCCTAGCTCCTGTCAACCACTGATCTCCTTTCTGATCCTCTGGTGTTGTCTTCTCCATGATGTTGTTTATAAAGTGGTGTATAGTATATAGCATTTGAATCTGTCTTCTTTCACTTGTAATATTGCATTTGAGATTAATCTATGTTATTGTGTTTCTCAGTAGTTTTTTTAAATTGCTGAGTAGTAGTCCACTGTATTCATGCACCATAGTTTATAAATTCATCATTTCATAGGTGCTTGGCTATTGTGAATATTACTGCTATGTACAAGTCTTACATAAACATACTCCCCCACCCCCACTCCCCCCCTTTTTTTTTTTTTTTGAGACGGGGTCTTGCCCTGTTGCCCAGGCTGGAGTGCAGTGGCGTGATCACAGCTCACTGCAACCTCCGCCTCTTGAGTACAAGCGATTCTCCTGCCTCAGCCTTCTGAGTAACTGGGATTACAGGTGCACGCCACCATGCCCAGCTAATTTTTGTATTTTCAGCAGACACGGGGTTTCACCATGTTGGCCAGGCTGGTCTCAAACTCCTGACCTCAGGTTATCTGCCCACCTCACCACGCCTGGCCTCTCCCTCATTTTTGAAAGGAAGTTTTGTTGGGGAAATAGTTTCTCTCAATATACTGACTCTATTTACTCTTCAATTTTCTGGCTTCCTTAACTGATTCTGTGAGACTTCGTGTAATTTTCATCTTTCTTTAAGTAATTGGCTTTTCTCTTGGTCTACTTTTAAGATGTTCTCTTTGTATATGGCTTTCTACTGTATGTTGTTATGAGAATTTCTTTTTCTTTTCCTAGTTGGAATTCATTGGACTTTTGAATTTAAAGGTTATTTTTCAACTATTTCTCCTCATATCTAATCTCCTGTTTAACCATACTGTGGAATTTAGGGACAGTAAATTGGATTGAGTACTGGATTATTTCTTGGTTTATGACACTTATTTTGTTTTTTAATTTTAGAATTTGTGATTATTGAGCTCAGTAATTTTGAGTATACTTTTAAACCAGTGCCAAATGTGGTTTGGTGTGGTTAGTGGTTTAGTCATGAGTGACATAATAGTTATTAGTGCTTTGATTATGTCTATGATTTAGGGAGAAATGTTTTGTGGTCCTTATTGTTTTTTTTCTAGATATGATACACCAACTTCTAAAAAGAAAGTACGAATTAAAGACCGCAATAAACTTTCTACAGAGGAACGCCGGAAGTTGTTTGAGCAAGAGGTGGCTCAGCGGGAGGCTCAGAAACAACAGCAACAGATGCAGAACCTGGGAATGACATCACCACTGCCCTATGACTCTCTTGGTTATAATGCCCCTCATCATCCCTTTGCTGGTTACCCACCAGGTTATCCCATGCAGGCCTATGTGGATCCCAGCAACCCTAATGCTGGAAAGGTGCTCCTGCCCACACCCAGCATGGACCCAGTGTGTTCCCCTGCTCCTTATGATCATGCTCAGCCCTTGGTGGGACATTCTACAGAACCCCTTTCTGCCCCTCCACCAGTACCAGTGGTGCCACATGTGGCAGCTCCTGTGGAAGTTTCCAGTTCCCAGTATGTGACCCAGAGTGATGGTGTAGTACACCAAGACTCCAGCGTTGCTGTCTTGCCAGTGCCGGCCCCCGGTCCAGTTCAGGGACAGAATTATAGTGTTTGGGATTCAAACCAACAATCTGTCAGTGTACAGCAGCAGTATTCTCCTGCACAGTCTCAAGCAACCATATATTATCAAGGACAGACATGTCCAACAGTCTATGGTGTGACATCACCTTATTCACAGACACCACCACCAATTGTACAGGTAACTAATTCTGGAATTTCTCTTTTCTGTTTTATGGCCTGTTCATGGGATGTTAGTTAAATCTGGTAAAAGGGAGGAAGTGCTACCATGGACCACTTGTATGTATTGATCAATTGTATATGTATTGGTTATTTATTGTGTGAAATACTGCCAAAACTTGGTAGCTTAAGACAATAGGTAATTATTATCTCACAGTTTCTATGGGTCAGAAACTCAGAAGCAGCTTAGCAAGGTGGATCTGGCTCAGGGTTTTCGATAAAGTTATAGTTAAGCTGTTAGCCACAACTGCAGTCATCTGAAAACTGAACTAGATATAGAGGATTCACTTTCCAACTTACATCATTGTTAGCAAGTCTCCATTTCTGCCAAGGTAGAACCCTTTGTCATGGTAATATTTTTGTGTTTTCTAAAATCATCGTCAGGCCGGGCATGGTGGCTCACACGTGTAATCCCAGCACTTTGGGAGGCCAAGGCAGGCGAATCACCTGAAGTCAGGAGTTCGAAACCAGCCTGACCAACATGGTGAAACCCTGTCTCTACTTAAAAACACAAAAAATTAGCCAGCTGTGGTGGTGTTTGCCTGTAATCCCAGCTACTCGAGAGGCTGAGGCAGGAGAATTGCTTGAACCTGGGAGGCAGAGTTTGCAGTGAGCCGAGATTATGTCACTGGGCAACAGGGCGAGACGCTATCTCAAAAAATAAATAAGTAAATAAAATCGTTTTTTAAATTATACAAGGCAGAACTTATTTTTTATTTTATTTTAAGAGATTAGGTCTTGCCCTGACATCCAGGCTGGAGTGTAGTGATGGGATCATAGCTCACTACAGCCTTGAACTCCTGGGCTCAAGTGATCTTCCCACCTCCTGAATAGCTAGGACAACAGGTGTTGTATCACCATACCCTGCTAATTTTTTTAAGACGCCGGGTCTTACTATCTTTTTCAGGCTGGTCTCAAACTTCTGGCCTCAAGCAATTCTTCTGCCTTGGCCCTCCCAAAGTGGTGAGATTACAGGTGTGACCACTGTGCCTGGCCAGCAGTAAATATATTTTAAGCTTAAAAAAAAAAAATGTTCAAAGCATTATCATCACCACATTTTGGTGTCTCCCCCATCACTCCTCTTTATCCCTTAAAAATGAATTATTGTGGATGTTGAAGACTCTGGCAGTGTTTTCTGCACACAATACTTAGTATTAAACAGTAATTTTTACTTCTGTTCATATTTTCTTAATGAAGCTGTATCAAAACATTTGTTAAAATGGCCATGACAAGGCATCCTGCTTTAATTACTGAAACCCTAACTGTATTAACTACTTTCATTTTTTATGATCCTTTAAAATTTGTCTGGAAAACTTGAAGTTTTTTTTTTATCTCATGTTGTCCTACTTAAAATGAATTTTTTTTAAGATGGTAAGTCAGACTTTATTTAAAAGGAGCCAATGGTCATAAGGAACCACTGTGATGGGATTTTAGAGTAGGGGAAAGAGATTTGACTCAATTCCTTAAAATGATTTGTAACTGCTTTTTCAAATTATTTACTATTATACTATATGTGTGTATGTACATATACATACACATACATAAATGTTTTAATGGGTATAATGCCCTATTTACTTATAAAGTCATTATCCATTTTCCTGGGGGGCAGTCATTTAAATGGAAAGTTATTTTTCATAATTATAAATAGCATCCCATTAAACATGCTTATAGTTTTTTTTCTGCTTTTTATTTCCTGTTTGGTTTAAAATGACTGTTAGAGTGTTATAGAAGGCTGGTAAGAATATGGGCATTATTGGTCATCGGGTATGCATTTTCTGTGTGTGTGTGTATGTGTGTGTGTCAGGGGAGAGAGTATGTTTAATTCTGCCTCCTACAGAATGTTTTGGGTTTTGTTTTTGGTTTGATTTTTCTTCTTTCTTTTTGTTTTTCTGGTCAGAGCCCTGCTTTGTCCATGTTGGTGTTTTTGGTTTTGTTTTTACTGTCACTCTTACTTGGGTATGACCCATATTCTTTCTCGGACCAAGCTATTAGTTTTGAGTTTTTCCCTTAAAGTATATATGAGGGATACAGTAAAAATGGTTTATATCTGTCCCCATTCCTATTCCTGAAATATATCTTTAATCTTAGTACTAGAGCCTAAGAAACAACAGTGGTAGGTATCCATTCAAGACTCCTCAGTAAAGAGCTCACTGGTCATTTGGTTTTTCTTATAAAATAAAATCCGGCTGGGTGCAGTGGCTCACACCTGTAATCCCAGCACTTTGGGAGGCTGAGGTGGGCAAATCACAAGGTCAAGAGATGGATACCATGGTGAAACCCTGTCTTTACTAAAAATACAAAAATTAGCTGGGCATGGTGGTGCGCGCCTGTAGTCCCAGCTACTTGGGAGGCCGAATCAGGAGAATCGCTTGAATGCGGGAGGCAGAGGTTGCCGTTTGCAGAGATCATGCCACTGCACTCCAGCCTGGCAAGAGAGCGAGACTCTGTCTCAGAAAAATAAATAAATAAAATAAAATCCATTTATTCCTTCCCAATGAGGAAAAAGTTTCTCTTGGGTTTGTTCATTAGCCTAAAGAGCCAAGCATCACAATTTACTTGCTTCTAGTCTGTCAGTCTGTCCCTATCAAGAAGTACTTATTGATTCCCTAATCTACTCTGTGTGTGCTTAAGTAGTAGGTAAATGGGCTGTGGTGGTTCAACTATCTTTCCATTCTGTCCTCTGTGAGATTAGTTGATCAGATGATATTGGACTTTGGGGTAATGAGAAGCATAGAGTATTGTTAGTGTGTGTGTTGAGTTCTGGCTTATCATTTACTGTGCATCCTAGAAACAGGCATTTATATTCTTGAATCTTTGTTTTCTCATCTACAGAATGAGCAGAATGCCTTAGGATGGTTTTGATTTGGATACGATAATGGATATTAATAATGATAGATTCAAAGCACCATATACCTTGATAGCTACTTACAGTTATTACACAAATAATTATCTTAATAATACTGAGGGGAGATTATTGATATTAATGGGCTGTGAAATAACATCTGGTCAGGTTCATCCATGTAGTGTCTGGCCCTAAAAAATCTGACCTCCAATCAGGAGCTCAAGATCAGCCTGACCAACATGGTGAAACCCCATCTTTACTAAAAACACAAAAAAATTAGCCGGGTGTGGTGGTGTGCGCCTGTAATCCCAGCTACTCAGGAGGCTAAGGCAGGAGAATCACTTGAACCTGAGGTGGAGGTTGCAGTGAGCCGAGATTGCGCAACTGCACTCCAGCCTGGGCAATAGAGCAAGACTCTGTCTCAAAAAAAAAAAAAAAAAAAAAAAAATCTGACCTCCAGGATGAATCCTTGCCGTCTATGTTGTTGAAGCCCAGTGTTAACCATACAACATGGCTGCTGAGAGTTTGCAAGTTATTTTAGCCTTGGTGGTGAAGTAACATGTAACATGATACATCTGTGTCTACTTATATATACATACTCAGTATCTTTAATATTTGGAGCAAATGTGTTATTAGAAGGTGACTGATTTTTTTTTTTTTTTTTTTTTTTTTAGGGGATTTTTTTTTTTTTTTTTTTTTTTTTTTGAGACGGAATTTTGCTCTTGTTACCCAGGCTGGAGTGCAATGGCGTGATCTCGGCTCACTGCAACCTCCGCTCCCTGGGTTCAAGCAATTCTCCTGCCTCAGCCTCCCGAGCAGCGGGGACTACAGGCGTGCGCCACCATGCCCAGCTAATTTTTGTATTTTTAGTAGAGACGGGGTTTCTCCTTGTTGACCAGGATGGTCTCGATCAATTGACCTCGTGATCCACCTGCCTCGGCCTCCCAAAGTGCTGGGATTACAGGCGTGAGCCATCGCGCCCAGCCTAGAAGGTGACTGATTTTTTAAATTCTGAGACAGAGTCTGGCTTTGTTGCCCAGGCTAGAGTGCAGTGGCACAATATCGGCTCACTGCAACCTCCACCTCCCGGGTTCAAGCGATTCTCCTGCCTCAGCCTCCTAAGTAGCTTACCCCCCACCACGCCTAGCTAATTGGTGACTGATTTTTTTTTATACAACTGCATACTAGACATAAAAGCTCAATTTTAACAGAGGTCATGTAATTTATAGTGGTCTTGTGACATTAACAAGTGACTTATTCTCACAAAGTTATACTAAATTACATCTCAAGAGTTTGAGTGCTCTGACCATAATTTTTCATTTTAGGCTGGTGCAAAAGTAATTGTGGTATTTGCTAATAAAAGTGGCGAAAACTGTAATTACTTTTGCACTGACCTAATATAAAGTGAAGTGATTAAGATATAAAGTAGTAATGATTTTTTATTCTTCTAGAAGTGGTGACAGAAAAATTGTATTCTTCCCTCTATAACATATTGGACCTTCTCAGATTTGCTTTCTAATTCCCATTAAAAATCACGTTTTAGGCCGGGCGTGGTGGCTCACACCTGTAATCCCAGCACTTTTGGAAGCCAAGGCAGGTGGACCACCTGAGGTCAGGAGTTTGAGACCAGCCTGGCCAACATGGTGAGACCCCATCTCTACAAAAATTAGCCAGGCATGATGGTGGGTGCCTGTAATTCCAGTTACTGGGGAGGCTGAGGTGGGAGAATTGCTTGAACCTGGGAAGCAGAAGTTGCAGTGATCCGAGATTGCACCATTGCACTCCAGCCTGGACGACAGAGTAAGACTCTGTCTCAAAAAAAAAAAAAAAAAGTCATAATTTAAAGATACCTCTAACTGATATATATTTGAGAAACTAGCATTTGTGTATGTGTGTGTGTGTGTGTGTGTGTGTGTGTGTGTGTGTATATATATATATTTATATATATATATTTTTTGGAGACAGAATCTGGTTCTATCACCCAGGCTAGAGTGCAGTGACATAATCTCTGCTCACTGAAACATCCGCCTCCCAGGTTCAAGCGATTCTCCTGCCTTAGCGTCACTAGTAGCTGGGATTACAGGCATGTACCACCACTCCTGGCTAATTTTTTGTAGTTTTAGTAGAGACAGGGTTTTGCCATGTTGGCCAGGCTGGTCTCAAACTCCTGACTTC